GCGGTCTCTGGGACGCCGCTGGGTCCCGTAACGCCACGTGGTGAGTGCCTGAGGAGCTCCACGGGGCTCTTCAGACCTTTATATGTCACACACTAAAACACGGACTGATCAAGCTTTGAAAACCAGCCTTGGACAGGGTTCCTGTGCTTTCCTAGAGTTGCAGTGTTGCTTGGGACATGAGGCAAGGAAATAAAACAGATTAATTCTTTCTGCTTTCTCTGCACATGAGCTAGAGGGGAAGAGAACAGGACTCCTCTTTGCACTGCCTAGCACCGAGTCAGCGGGCTGTCATAGCTCAGTACCGATACGAACCAGCAAATCCCTCCCAACCAAGCAAATGGGAAATTTTGTGACTCAGAGGGAACATCTGTACGTATCCTGGGGAAATCCCTAGGCATAGCCACCTTACACATGGTGGCTTGCTCAGGTCTGTGCTGCAAATCATAGTCCTGAATAAAGAGTCTATCACTCTTGGTTAAAGTATCCCAGATGAAAAGACACATTTTTCAAAAATGTTTTTAATACAGCTTTCTCAAAAAAAAAAAATCATTACTTCCTTCAACTTCTCAACAAGTATGAGCCTCACAGCTTTCCTGCCTCCTCTGGAATTGCTAGGTCACTGCAGACATCAAAATTAATGAAGAGATGAAAGATTCAGCAGAAAGGCAAAATCTTACTGGAAAAATGTTTCTTAATATCAAAAGCGATTCAAGAGTAACGAATATATCTAGCAGAATAATAAACAAATGCAAACTTCCTAATGCTTAAAAGAATACATATGAAGGAGGACACAAGACTTTGGGTTGTGTTTTTTTTTTTCTTTAAAACACTAATTCATTTTAAAAAGTGAATGTTTCCATGTGCTTTTGGGGCTTTACATAAGTGGGATTTCCACTGCCTAAATTTTTGCAACACCTTAAACTCAGCTAACCAGCCAAACTCAGTCAATGCAGAAAGGGGACTCTCTTTGCTTCTCACCTTTGCTGCTGGGACTTTGGACTTCATCCCACAAGACAGAGGGGTTACCCTAAAACACGTTTTCCCATTTGCCCATCCACAAACACGCCTGCTCCTTAGTACTAAGGAAATGGCAGAATGGGTACAGCTACCTCGGAGTTGACATTGAGTGGGATGAGAGAGGAGGAAAAGTGTCTGGGGGTTAAAATAAAATAAACATATATTCAAAATAAGTTGCTCTGTGCAATTCAGTTGAACTTTATTGTAGGAAACAAAGATGTCTAGTTTCTCTGTGATGTAGTCTCTCATTCCTCCATGGCAGTGGCTTTTCAGCTGAGGCAAACGTAGAATAAGAGCTGGTAACCTGTAGCTCTACAGTCCATGCTCATCCTGATAAAGCAACATAATTATATGATTCTTTCTATTGGAAAAGAATGTTTGTCAGAAGCTCTCTTTTATGTAGTCTTGAAACAGATACTTCCTTAGCCCTACCTGTACAGCAACATGACCTCTTGGCAATTCAAATAGTCTAACAGAAAATAAGAGTAACTAATATACGGGATCCTCTAGCACTCCCATACCACTGCTAATAGAAGAAAAATCAATATTAGCTCCAATATGAATGGAGTGTTGGATTGGCTGAACAGGAAGCTTTGAAATAAATATCTAAGAAATGTTTGGATGAAATGGACATCTTTACAGACATTTGGTCTGCATTTCTGAAATGTAGATGATTAAATCCACATTGTTGGCTTCTTCCCCCTCTGCACTATGTCTTTCTTTACATCTTGCAAAAAATTTATGAACAAAGTTATTGTAAATCTGCAATGTCTGTCTTGTCACTTAGATTCTTTTCAGAAATGTTGCCTTGCCAATGTAGATATACAATCCTGTATGATTAATATTTATTATTTATAATTCTAAATACAATGGAAGGTCACCAAAAATACCCTGCCTAAAGGAGTCTGGAGCCCTTTAAAATCTCACTGGTGATGGATCCTGAGTCTTGAGAAGAGAGCTCAAAATCTTAGCAAAACACTTTTCTATGTAGGATATCCAGTATTTCCTGCTTCTGACTATGGCTAAAGCTAAAAAGCACAAAGGTGAGCGAAAGTTACAGATCTGAAAACATGAGCTTGAATTTCAAACCCAAACAAAGGTCAGGGACTGCCTGAACCTGTCCGTAATCTTGGATCAGCCTATAATAGAGCTATGTAGGATGCAGAGTGAGACTTGAATTCACACAGAACGGGCACTGTAGCTGGAAAGTGTTTCATTTTCCTCTTATTCTTTCTCACAGATTTTTGGGAGGTATTAGAAAAATGAAGATATTTAAGGATTTTTTTTATTCTTAATTAAAAGGAAGGTAGCTTGGGGATTTTCGGATTTTATAATGAAATCCTAAAAGAATTTAATAAGAGCATGAAAATCGTCTTGGAAAAAGCTCATTGCACTAACAGCTCATTTTATTTTGTGATGTAAGCCCAACCATTTTTAAATATAATTTTTAAAAAACGGATGCAATTTGAAGTCACTGAGATCCACTGTGTTTTGGCCCTCTTCTAGAAAAACTAAAATAAGACATAGTCAGGACCATGGGATTCAGCAAATTGGTGAAGATTCACAGAGATGGAAATCAGGTCACACCCTGAACTGGTTCACTTACCCTGCCTGAGATCTGCTGCGTGTTTGGACAATCTTCTTTAAGGAGCTAAATACAAAGAGCACAGAGCAAGAATCGGCATCTGCCTCTGTGTCTTCATTCAAAGAGTCACTGCAACTGTGATTAAGCAAAGCCACTAACTGAAGTTCAAACCTGGAAAAAGAAAACTGAGAAAAATGTAGATTCTGTTGATTGGCATGCTTCTAGCTAAATCATACCAAAAGAAAAAAACGCCAGTGACCATTAATCAGACAGAAGACTTTTCACTAGAAACGAATTTGCAGAGCATTGCTAACACTTTTCTAAACAGACAGAGCCATCTTGACCAGTGCGCGGAGTGAAAACAAAACCAGAAAGACAGACGGAAAGGACTGAGTCAATTAAAATAAATAAATAAATAATTGTCATAATTAAAAAGAAAAAAATCACAAATAATTCCAATCTCATGAAGAAATGTTTTTAACAAGCCACATGTGCTTGCGCAGACACTTCTAATCTCATTAGATTTTTCTGGCTGCTATTAGTGTTCTCTGAGCCAGCTGATTTCTCAGCAATATTTTAAAGAGTGCGAGCCTTTGCCCTCCAGTCTAGCCGTTGTTAAAATAGCCTATTCTAGGGGAAGACTTGGGATTTCATGGATTTTCTTCCAAGGTTTTGGAAAGTTCAGAACAAATTGACCATTGCATGTAAAACAATAGTCAACCACAAACTATCTTCACAGTCAATGAGCAACATTCTGCTCCCAGCTGGGTGAGTATGAAAAGCGGAATAATCCCACCAAAGCAACAGGATGGCTTCAGATTGTCATCAGCATCGCACGGCGGAGGCTGGATTTTGATGCTGTCTCCAGTCCTCCAGCCCTCTGGCTGCAAACCAACCTGCTGCAAGGTTGCCCTCGGTCACAGCTCACCAGCTTGGGGTTCCCCTCAGATCAGCGCAGCTCTAACAGCTCTGATCAGAAGGGGAGCCACATCAGGTTACAGCTCAGCTTTATTTCAGCTTTGGAAACAACAACAATCAATCCCCACAAACTAAAAATCAAGCGCCATGTGCACTGTTGTACCTATCAGGGCACATGAGTTTCATGCAGAAGAGCTGTCATTCTGAGTTTGCTAAATTCACATGCAAATAATCACCAGTGTAAAGCAGACTGTGTCGGGAAGACGCTACGGATTGAATAAAATAATCAGTTTTAGAAAACAATCTTAATTCAGAATCATGTAACCTGGATTGGTAAACCCTAGAGGACTGGGACTAAGGCATCATGCATGGGTTTCTGCTAGCATACTTGCTGAATTTCTGGCTGGAAATGTGCCTCTCTCTGTTTTAGCCTGCCCTCTTTGAGGCTCTCACAGCAAACTTCTCCTGGGATGAGATGAGGAGTGCTTGAAAGTGACCCATCTGGAGCCCAACATGAAGAAAGCGCTTCCCCTGCCTGGAATTCCTGTGCAGCGACAGCTTTCTTCTGCCTACCCAAGTTTCCCAAGATAGCAATTATAAAGGAACTGGCAACCATACAGTCAAGATGACAATATCCTACACGGTTTGGTTAGCTCTGCCAATTCCCTCTATTTGCTGGAGACAATGTGCTGCCCCCATTACTGCTGTGTCTGTGTGTCTCTACCAACGAGCTGATCCACTGGGCGTTTTGGCACGAGCCCCACTCTTCCAAGGGCTGTCTGCTCGATTGCGTATTCACTCTCTTTCACTTTAAACATTCAGGTCCAACAGCATCATGCAAATTTTATGCAAAGTAGCATCTGCAAGTCTGACATATTCACTCAAGCTTCCCCCTCTTGCGCCAAGTTAAAAATAAATACCCTATGAACTCTTGGGCCTGCTAAGACAGAATATGCATTCAGACAGGTTTTTTAACTATAGCTGCTAAAAGCATTTCTCCTTTAGGGTCAAACTCCTTTTTTCCTCCTCTGTCTCTCTCTTATTTTGCTCCTGCCTCAAGGATCTCAATAACACTGGGAGAAAAAGCATCCTTGAAAAAACCTGCAGAAGAACCAGTTCTATGTGTTCCTAACTCTCTTACTTGAAATTTCAGCTAATATCCTATTTTTAAAACTCCAGAGAATTCAGGTGGTGATATACCCCCAACATGAAACAAGAAACTAGTAAGGTGGACTTATTTCCAATACTGATTGTGAATAATACTAGTTGAACTAGATCTTAGATTCAAATTTCAAAGGGCCTCCCACACTAGAGCTGCCTTCTTTTTTCTCCAGGGAGAAGCAGATTTGTCCCTGACCAATACACTTGAACAGATCAAAGTCATAGGGATGCCCACCAGATAGCATAATGATAAAGTATATCTTAAGGCAACAAGGAGAAGAGTCTGTAAAAGGAGATATTGAGCCACCGCTGAGGTCAGTTAGGACTTGCTGAGCCGCTTGGCCACGTCTGCGTAGGCTTGCTCGATTTCTTTATCTGCCGCACAGGTGTTGGTGAATTCATCTCTGGCATACGCGTTCTTCAGGTACCGCCACAGCCCCGTCATCTCTGTCGGGAACTCAAAGTTGCGGTATTTCTTTGCAACAATCTAAACCAAAGATAAAAGAGGGGAAAAAAGCATTCTGCTGCTGATATATCTCCAGATGTCTTTTTGGAGAGCATCTTGCTCTTTCTTGTCACATAATTAATAGCAAAGGAGAGAAACACTTGGAGAATCAGGATCGTATAATATACAAGCCTGAAAAGTGACCGTTGGTCGTCCCCTGACTTGCAAGTATGCTACTTGGCCTAAGGACACTCTAATGCGATAGCCTGGCAACTATCGCCAAATTAAGACTTTTATGACACCTGGAGCTCATTAATTTTACCATAGTGGTCTTTAGTGTTTTTTACCGGTCTTACGTACATCACTTCTTAAAGCTCAAATGCCAAATAAGAAAGAGCTGATTAGCTGAATTACAAAAAGGAAGCTAGATTGAAGGGAAAGTTAACAATTACTATATAACATACTTTAATATTAATTATTATATTTTGTTTAACACATTTAATTATTATATTAATGTTTAAAATTATATATATTTAATATATATTTTATATATACTATATTACTATTTATAATATATGTAATATATTTTGCCTGGCCAATGATGTCAGAGGATGTAACCACCTACAGCTGTTGAGAGGTTGTATCTGTGTTCATGCAAAGGAAAAATTCAGGGTGGTACCATGATTGAGAAACCAAGCTGATTTGGCAGACATTAGAAACAGGACTATTAGGATAAACTGGGGGAGAAAATGGTTATTTCAAGACTTGTTAGACTAGGAAATTGTCTATCAAGGGAAATTTTCGATTTCTAAAAACACTTAGGCCTTTATTCAGGAAAATAGTTAAGTGCATACTTAATTTTAAGCACCTGTATAGTCCCATTGAAGTCAATGGGACTAATCTGTGTTTAAAGCTAGTTGGTTGTTAAGTAGCTTGCTGGATTGGAATATTTCAGTTTTCGTGTAAGAATATACCATATAGAATAATCCTGTGGTGACAGAATGAACTAGCTGATAGGAAAGGATGGATTAGCTGATTTAATGAGTGCTTCCAATCTCTAATTTTTCTGACAGTATAAAATTGTTCCTGGGCATAAATTACATACATATGTGCCACAGAGTTCCCCTTTATTTTTTAAAGCACATGGTAGAGCTGTTTTCCATCTCAGATTTCTTAGGACAGTCATGTTCTCAGAAATGACTGTGATTTGTTTTTATTACCAGGATCCACTTGGTATACGCAAGTCCAAATCCTGTCCGATATTGCATTTAAATGAGCATTCTTTCCTTCAGTGATGCTTCACACACACATGGGGAAGATAAAACCTGCTGGGCAACTTAATTCAAGATTTTCACGATTTCCAGCACATATCTTCTATCATATGAAAAAGTCTTCATAATTTACCCTTTTCTTCCATCCATAAAATGCTTTTCAGGCAATATCTTATGGCTATGCTTTCAGAGAAAGATTTTAATTCTCTTTTGACATCTTTCATTTCATCCCAAGGAGACAGGAACCAGTAAGGGGCCACACATTCTTGTCTGACTCTAACGTCAACAATGAAGATGAGATAAAGAAAGAGTTAAACTTGTGGGGATATTATCACATTTCTTACCTGGTGACTTATGTACCTTTTTTTTCTATTTTTTTCTAATTTTTGCATGTGTGCAGTCAGCTTCCAGGCTCAGTTTATGTTTTGGTTCATGGAGCCAAATTAGATGCATGACTTGGCCTTAATTCTAGCTTTCTTGCTTGCCAAGGTCTGCCAGGTATTTGCTTTGTTCTAAAGAAACATGTAATATGATAGATTAAATAAATGCAACATTTAGAATTCAAGATGATGTACACCATTTGCACTATACCAGTGATCACTGTATGTCTTAAATCCTGGACCTTGGCAGTGACTTTGATTTGTTAACTTCCCTATGTGAAATACCAGCTGGAACAAATAATCCTGAAAAAGATGGACTGCTGCTCTTAAGTTACAAATGGGTGGGCACTGACTAAAGTTTTGACATCTCTCTTAAGAATAATGGAAACTAATTAATATGAAATAAGCTGTTACTTGCAGCAGGGTAAAAATAAAGAGATGGGATACCTTAATATTGTCTTTGCCACTAATTAGCGATGAGACATTTTTCCCATGTACTAAATACAGAGTTGCTTAAGTTAACCTATAGGAAATCCTGAGGAGCAAAAGCGTATTTCAAAGCCTGCTCTTCTAGGACTTAAGATGCCTCTGCTGAAATGCACGTTGGCTTTAGCTCACGGCTGTCGGAGCAGGGCACATCATTCTCAGATAAGGCTGCTTTGACCATCGCATGACATCTTTTACCTTCACAACGTGGAGTTTGGGCAGAAGGTTGCAGTCAGCAAGAGTCAAGTCATCTCCATCCAGAAACTTGCGTTTAGACACTTTCTCCTCTTCAGTGCTGTCTGCGTCAATCTCCTCTGGCAGAGGGGTTCTCAGATAGTCATCCAGTTTCTTCAGAGCCTTCACCAAGCCTTTTTCAAGGGCTTTGCCAAAAGCAATAAATAAGTGATTAGGGCAGAGTAAGAATTATTTAGAAACACTCGTTGTCAATGGCTATGGTAATATCTAGGAAAAAAAGCCAAGAACCATTTCTTTGTTGCTAATTTGTGCTCCAACGCCTGCACAATCGGATGACAAAGTAGCCCAGCAAGGTCTGCCTGAGGGTAAAGCTCATCCTGCAATGGGAAAGGGGACGCAGGAAACTGTTGTGCCATGTCTTCTCCTGACTAGCACAAAAAAAAAAACAAAACAGTGAAAGAGGTCATCGAAGGAAAGAACAGCTTATCAGTATATATACCAATAAAACACCTACACTCTTCTGGTCTGTTGAGGCCATCCTCAAATTGGAGATCCGTATGCCATTACCTTATTTTTCCAAGCAGGCAGGTAGGACTGTAATGAAGGCGAATTTTCTAGCATTACTTCAACCCTAAAAAGTTATAGTTTTACTACTTTTAAACCCTTTCCAGAGTAATTAAAGGCAATAGCAATAATTCCAGAGATGTTAACCAGAGCTTTATGGAGGTGGAAGATACACTACAACTGAAATGAAAGTAATATAACAATATTTAAATACAACACCACACAAAAGAGGTGAGACATTCAGACACTGTTAAGATACCTCTCACTTCAACTTAGATGCAAATTCTCTTTTTGATGTGTCTCAAATTGGGTATCACAAAGAAGAAGAGACTTTGGACCTCTTACTTCAATTACAAAAGACCATGTCCCACACTGTAGCTGGCTCCAACAAATTCCAAGCTTAAAATGCCACTTAGACATAATATACAGCAGAGTGCAAATTTTTACTTAAAAATATCAACCCGGGCACAGAATTTGTGTTCTTACGTGTTACCAGCAGGTTAATAGAAAAACTTGATCACAATAATGGACTTAAAGAAAGCTGAATGACTGTACGCAGGTTTGCATTTTATTTAAACTGTAAACACTCTGGGGCAAGAAGGGTCTTTTCCATCTCTGAAGGGTGACAAGCACGATGGGGTCCTGGCCCCTGACAAGTGCCCCAAAGTGCTAAAGCAATATAAATAAGAAACAGCAAGAATTTACAATGTGAAAAAATAACAACATGACTCATGGGCTTAGGGCCAGAATTTCAGCTGGTGAAAATTACCTGCAGTGATTTATACCTGCTGCAGATCTGGCCTGGAGTCAGCATTTAAGGCCTAATCCTGTAAAATCTTATATCTCTGAGTAACTTACTGCCATTTAACTTAGGGGAGACTACTCAATGCATCAAGTTACTCAGAGGGTGTAGCACTACGAGGCCTACGGAGATAAATTTACTTATGGAGCACAACACAAGCTTCAAAAGGCTGCAGCGATGGCCCCGCGTAGAGCCGCGTGCTGGCACAGGTAGCTCCGCCGGCCCTGCTGCCGGCCGCCCCGTGCTTTTGGCAGGGAGAGAAAGGCGACGCGTACAGGGCCGTTGAGAGAGCAGGAGCTGAACACCACGCAACATGATTGCTCTGCTGCCCTAACATCTATTAAATCTTGTGCCAGTGGTGGAAGTCAGATTAAACTGCCTGATGTCTCGCTCCCACTGAAGCCTCCTGGCCAAGCGCCAGGGAACCGTACCAGCTCCTTTGTGGCTGACTCTTAGACACAGTGGCAAATCCTGGCTTAATTGATTGACTGGAGAAATGACTGCGATCCAACTGAAAACACCCCAACAAACATAGCAGGGAGGGAAAGAATTTTATTTCTGAAAGCAGAACATCTAAAGCGACTGAAGTGCTGCCATCCATAAAACAAAAGTGTTGCCATCCCTTATTTAATCAATTCAAATTGAATTTTGACACTGACATTCTGCTGTCAGATGCTGGCAGTGGTGTCTTTAATCGTCTGCAGCTGTGCTCCGCCGCACAACTTCTGCTGAAGGGTAATAACTGCATAGCATGTAATATACCCCCATGTGGCAACACTCAAAAGATTTAGCAATCCCTTTTTGGTTTGACCCGTAACACCTGTTGAATAGACAGTTCTCCTTCTCTTGGTCAGCCTCAGACTATGTCCTCTTACAATGAATTCATTTAGAGACAATGGAATCGAATTACTGTGATATAATTCAATTTTGCACATTCAGATTTTAGAGAACTGGCTTAATGCTGAGCATTTTCCAGTATCCCCTTCACCCTGTAGGATCGTTGGTTCTCTGAGTCATCTCCGTGGTGTTTCCAGCATCAGCACGACGTCGGACGCTTCGCGCTAGCCCATGGGGTGAGTTAGGTGTGCGTTCGAAGACGGGAGCAGCAGGTGAGATGTGTTTATGTAAGTTTTCTGGAACTGATTAGGGTTGGGGTTTTTTTTTTTGCTCTCATTGATATATCAAAGTGCGTCATGGCTGTCTCAAAGACAATGCCTGGAGTGAAGCCTATTTGTGACAGTGGGAAAAACATCTATCTGAATTCATACTTGGCGCTTGCATACGGCAGCTTTAGGCCAGAAATAAGCGTATGTTCGGGGTTCAACACATCTGTGACCTAATTCACAGGCTCTGCTGGAACCCACAGGACCCTGCGATCTCCCAGTGTAATCACCACAAGGTCAGGGCCATCTTATATCCTGAAAGTCAAGAACTGGACCACTACTTGTGACTCTAACGACCCCATCTAATTAATCGATACTCTTCTGATCCTAGTAAATCTCTCAGAACAGTCATGAAAAGAGAAGGGTAGTGAACAAGGGAGAACTGCCTTTCTTCCAACTGAACAGTGACAGAATTTTGAAAAGCTAAGAGAATTAAGATCCTAAAACTGCCATTTCAAATGGAGTTTAGGTGCACAGGGTCAGATTTTTAAAGCCTGACAATGTTTTTCAAGTAATTTTTTTAAATCCATAAGCAGGTATCTATATTGCAAATCCTAATTTCTAGGTGCCCTGACACATTCAGTTTTACCTATATGATTTGAAATCCTAGGTTCCTTGAGAAGGTGCTCAAGGTCAAAGCAGGAGGATGTGTAAAAGAATCCCAAAAATACTGAAGCAAGAGGCTTCCAAGCCCCACATCTCAGAGAGAGCCAAGTGTCTAATGCTGGCATGGGTGGGAGAACCTACCTTAGGTTTGAATTCAACAGTGATTCCTAGAACACAGAGGTATTGAAAGCAGGTCAGTTTTTTCTTTCTTACAAAAAAATGTGGGGGAAGTGTTATGATTTTACCAGTGGTATAGGGAGAGCATTTTCCTGGAAACTGGAAGACTGAGTTTCAAATGCCTTTTCAATGTGATGTCAGCCCAGATCTTCCAGATGAGACCCCACCAGTGGAGTATCAGGTAATTTGTACAGCTCACCTCTTGAACTGTTTCATTTTCCATAAATAATTCAACATTCAGTGGATTATGACTGAAGGCTGACACTACAGGTAAAAGTCAGAAAAACTAACTCTCTCATTTTCTCTCTTATCTGGTTGATATTTAAGCATTATGTGAAAGGTGAAAAAATGTGAACAGAGACCAAGAAATAACGACCTCAGAATGTCCTACAGCTCTGAACTTTCGGGGCTCTTGTGGAGGAAAGAGCTGTCTGGGTTCATATTACTGAGCAAACCCAGAAGAAGAAAGATTTAATTCTAAACCTCTCATACTGTGGCTATTTTATGAAAATCTGGATGACTCTATACATTGTCTCCACTGAGAACATAGCAGACAACGAGCACTCATCAGAGCAGGGGTCTTGTGAATACCAGTCACAGCTCTAGACTAAATGAAGACATTTTAAAAGATGTGACTAACTAAAGAGTGACTAATTCCCCATTTGTGAACATACGACCCACGATGAATTTCAGAAGTGGCCAAGCAGCTAATTCCCTTGGCAACTTAGCCTCTTGGAAACATCATTAAATAACTAAATAGGTTTGCTGATAACAGCTGAGGCTCCATTGCAAGTCAGTCGGTGGGATTAATCTCCCTGAAGTGAGTAAATTAAATGAATATGTTTGAATTAATCACCCTGAGCTTCCTCCGTAGTCAGTGGAGTCTTCTCTTCTGCACTTGGTTTAGGTGACCCCTAAATCAGCTGTGTGGAGAACTTTTCCTGAAGTGTCTAATCTTAGCTATGTATTTTCTTGGTAAAGTCAGGGTGGAGGATTGACTATTACAAGACCAAGTGGAACAGTCTTTGGTGGGTAAAAAATTGGCTGGATGGATGGGCCCAAAGAGTTGTGGTGAATGGAGTTAAATCCAGTAGCAGCCAGTCACAAGTGGTGTTCCCCTGGGCTCAGTACTGGGGCTGGTCTTGTTTACTATCTTTATCAATGATCTGGACGAAGGGATCAAGTGCACCCTTGGTAAATTTACAGACAACAGCAAGCTGGGTGGGAGTGTTGAAGCAGCCAGTCACAAGTGGTGTTCCCCTGGGCTCAGTACTGGGGCTGGTCTTGTTTACTATCTTTATCAATGATCTGGACGAAGGGATCAAGTGCACCCTTGGTAAATTTACAGACAACAGCAAGCTGGGTGGGAGTGTTGATCTGCTTGAGAGCTGGAAGGCTCTACAGAAGGATCTCAACAGGCTGGATCAATCAGCCAAGGCCAGCTGTATGAGGTTCAACAAGGCTGAGTATCAGGTCCTGCACTTGGGTCGCAACAACCCCATGCAACGCTCCAGGCTTGGGGAGGAGTGGCTGGAGAGCTGCCTGGCGGAAAAGGACCTGGGGGTGCTGGTTGACAACAGGCAGGACATGAGCCAGCAGTGTGCCCAGGTGGCCAAGAAGGCCAACAGCGTCCTGGCCTGTATCAGACACAGTGTGACCAGCAGGACTAGGGCAGTGATCGTGCCCCTGGACCCTGGACACAGCACTGATGAGGTGCACCTTGAATCCTGTGTTCAGTGTTGGGCCCCTCACTACAAGAAGGACATTGAGGTGCTGGAGTGTGTCCAGAGAAGGGCAACGAAGCTGGTGAGGGGGCTGGAGAACAAGTCTGATGAGAAGCAGCTGAGGGAACTGGGGTTGTTCAGCCTGGAGA